CTTGGAATAAATCTGACCAAAGACACCAAAGATCTCTCTACAATGAAAATTTTAAATCATTCGGGCTGGAGAGATGGCTCAGCAGTTAAGAACACCGGCTGTTCGTGCAGAAGACTCAGGTTCAAATCCCAAAACCCACATGGCAGCTAACAACTGTCCATAACTCCAGTTCCAGGGGACCTGACAACCTCTTCTGTCCTCCTCAGGCAATGCATGACACTGGTGCACTTACCTACATGTAGGTAATACATGCATACACATAAAATAAAAAATAATAAATAAAATTTAAAAAAATTTTTTTAAATCGTTAAAGAAAGAGATTGAGGAAGACACCAGGAGATAGAAGGACCTCCCAGGCTCATGGATTGGAAGAATTAATATTGAGAAAATGAACATCCTACCAAAAGCAATATACAGATTCAATGCAATCCCAATCAAAATCCCCATGACATACTTCACAGAATTAGAAAAAACCATCCTTAAATTTGTATGAAAACACAAAAGACTCCGGATAGCCAAAGCAACCCTGAGCATAAAGAGCAATGCTGAGGGGGTTACTATATTAGATCTCAAAGTATATTACAGAGCTACAGTCATAAAAACAGCATGGTACTGGAACAAAAATAGACAGATCAATGGAACATCACTGAAGACTCAAACCAGAATACATGCAATTTCAGCCACCTGATATTTGAAAAAGGTGCCAAGAACACACAATGGAGGAAAGACAGCATCTTCAACAAATGGTGTTGGCAAAACTGGATATCCACCTGTAGAAGAATGAAACTAGATCGTTATCTTTCACCTTGCAAAAAAGTCAACTCCAAATGGATCAAAGACCTCAATGTGAAACTGGATACCCTGAAACTATTAGAAGAAAATATTGGCAGTAACTTACAAGATATAGGTATAGGAAAGGATTTTCTAAATCAGACAGAAGTTGCTCATGAATTAAGGTCAGCAGTCAACAAGTAGGACCTCATTAAACCAAAAACCTTCTGTACAGCAAAAGAAACAATCCAAAAAGTGAAGAGAAAGCCCAAAGAATGGAAAAAAAAAAAAAATCTTCACCAGTGACACAACTGACAGAGGTTTAACATTCAAAATATATAAAGAACTCAAAAAACAAAGAATCGAGAAACCAAATGACGCAATGAAAAGATGGGCTAAAGATCTAAACAGAGAGTTCTCAAAGGACAAAATAAAGATGGCTAAGAAACATCTCAAAAAGTGTTCAAAGCCGGGCATGGTGGCGCACACCTTTAATCTCAGCACTCGGGAGGCAAAGGCAGGTAGATCTCTGTGAGTTCAAGGTCAGCCTGGTCTACATAGTGGCTACAGGGAGACCCTGCCTCAAAAAGACCAAAAAAAAAAAAAAAAGTGTTCAACATAGTAATTAGGGAAATGTAAATTAAAACCACCCTAAGGTATCACCTTACCCCAATCAGTCTGGCTAGGATCAAGAGAACAAATGATACCAAATGCCGGTGAGGATGTAGAGAAAGGGGAATGCTCATTCACTGCTGGTGGGATTGCAAACTCGTGCAGCCTCTATGTAAAACAGTGTGGAGACCTCTTAAAAAACTAAAAATGAACCTAGCATATGACCCAGTTACACCATTCCTTGGCATGAACCCAAAGGACTCATCCTATTGTAGAGACACTTGTACAACAATGTTTGCCGCTGCTCTTTTCACAATAGCTAAGAGATGGAAGCAACCTAAGTGTCCCTCAACGGACGAGTGGTTAACAAAAATGTGGTATATTTACACAATGGAGTTCTATTCAGCAGTAAAGAAAGATGAAATAATGAATTTTGCAGGTAAATGGATGGATCCAGAAGCTGTTATACTAAGTGCAGTAACACCAACTCAGAAAAATAAAAGATGTATGCTCTCCCTCATATGTAGATCCTAGCCCCAAATCCTTTTAAATTCCAGATCCTTTTAATAAAGTGATGCTATACAGCAGTCTCTTCTGCATGAAATAACTACCATCATCATAACTTCAGCTGTGCCTGATCACTAAATATCATCACAATTGGGCTTGTTGACTGTTATGCTCATGCATTAAAGGAGAGCCAAGCAGGGTCATTGGACCCTCAGAGTATCCAGCCACTCTTCCCAGCCAACTGTATGTAATTTGGCCCTAATCACACATAGTCTGCTGGATTTCAGGAGGACTAAAGTATACAGTCTGGGGAAGAGAAGGCATGACCCATGCTGGGTAAAGGCTTTCCAGTGTGTTCCAGTGTGCATACCCTCAGGTCATACATATACCTCAGCAGCCCCTCAGTTATCTGGAAGGCTTTGAGAGGGAACTACACTGATTCTAACCACTCCAACAGCTATCAAAATTCTTGAAAGTAAATCCTGAATCCATCACTCTCCAGTCTTGACAGACAAAAGAAAAATGAGGAGGAACCCAATAGAGGGATGCTTTTGGAAGCCTTTGTCAAGAAATTCCAATGGACTCTCATATGAACATTTGAAAATTGCCCTGTTCTGACTTTTTCTAGTTCTCTGTCTAGAATTTGTAATGCTAATTACTCTTGCCTTTACTTGTCCTTCACATCTCCTAGTCACCTATTCAAGGACTATTCAAGGACTTTCTCTTCTCCCTACAGATAAGAGTTATGCAATTTGGGAGTCTTTTAGATAAACCCACTAAGGGAGTACTCCAACTGCCTCACTCTGCATCCCTGTTCAGCATGGAAGAAGCCAGAGCAGTCTGTGTCCTGATTCCGTATCTGCAAGTTGTGTAAGCTCTTTAAAGAATAAGAATAGGAGGTAGGAATTGGCTAGGCAGTTAGAGAAAAAAAGACCCCAAAGAAAAGTAGCCCGTTTCTTGGCTAAAACTCACAATGTCCTTGGGCCTCTTAGCAATATACTCCAGTTCCAAAGGCATGTGGAAAGTATTTGGGAGCTCTTATCTAACCCTTAAAAGATTACCTCTTTTGGTTACCTCCTCAGGAGGGAATGTTAGAATAGCCAAAAGCCCCATAAAAAGAAATAAATAAAAGAAGAAAGAGTACATGAGAAAAAAAAAAAAAAAAAAAAGCCACAAACCAGCTTAAAGAATTAAATGGAACTTCCCAAAGGAAAATAGGATCAGGTGAAGTAAAGATTGGAAGAGGATCTGAGTCTTGTTTGCTTGATTGTTTATTGAGATTGGGTCCCCTATGTAGCCAAGTTGACCTTTAACTCATGATCTTCTTACCTCAGCTTCCCAAGTGCTGGAATGACAGGAGTTTACCATAATACCTGGCAGGATAGGACACTTAAAATGTACTTTGATTTTTTTTTAACTTATGCATATGTACCAGTGCTGGGATTAAAGGCATGCACCACCACGCCCAGCTTCCAACAGAATCTTTGCAGAACTGTAGATAAGACTACAAGTCCTAGATCTAGCTTGCTATTATCTTTCAGAGTGATTGTATAATGAATTAATACATGTAAATAATTCAGTGTAGAGCTTGTTCCATAATATATGTTAAAATATCTGCTTTTACTAAAGAAAAAAAAAGGAATCTAAGAAGTCAATGGATGAAGTGGCATGCAACTTTTAAGACAGTGCTGATGTTAAATTTTTCAAACTTGTATGTGTTCAACTTTTGAATATCTCTACTATAAAGTTTGAGTATGCACCACAATTTAAAAAAAAAAAAAGTAAGAGGCTTTAGATGGCTCTAAAGGTAAAGGTGTTTGCCAAATAAGCCTGGTTACCTGATTTTGATTCCCAGACTCCACGTAAAGGTGGAAGGAGAGAGCCCATTCCACAGTTGTCCTTTGGCCTCTACATACATCCCATGGCATGCATACACAGATACACAATTTTAAAAAATATTTCATTATTTTTACTTTATGTGTATGAGTACTTTGCCTGCATGAGTGTAAGTGCATGTTATGCAATGCTCTAGATGGTCAGAAGACAACATCAGATCCCCGAGAACTGGAGTTATAGATGGTTTTTAGCCACCAAGTGGGTGCTGGGATTTGTACCCAAGTCCTCTGCAAGAGTAGTCAGTGCTCTTAACCACTGAGCCATCTCTCCAGTCCCAGATACACAATTTTTTGTTTGTTTGTTTTTCTTTTTGTCTTTTTGAGACAGGGTCTCCCTGTAGCCCCAGCTGATCTGGAACTCACTATGTAGACTAGGCTGGCCTTGAACTCACAAAGATCCGCCTGCTTCTGCCTCCCCAGTGCTGAGATTAAAGGCGTGCGCCACCCAGCTCACAATTTTTTAAACAAAGATTATTCTTTGCTCTAAAGGCCTGGCCTACACTTGTAGTGTATTTACCAGAATCATCACTAGAGGCCAATGGCACAACTCCTCAGTGTGACAGCCAAAAGGTCTCTAGATACTGCCCAAAGACTCCAGGAGAAACAAAATTACCCCTAGTTGAGAACTGATTCTCTCTCAAGAGAAGAAGGAGACGGTAACATGGAAAAAGTCATTTCACCAGCATGAGTAATGCCCATATCTACTCAATTTGGACTCTTCAAACCAAACATGGAGTCAAAGAGGGGGATTCTCTTTCCATGGTCTCTGTGTTTATGATCTAGAATTTCTACACTCATGCACATGTGCGAGCATATGCACACACACACACACACACACACACACACACACACACACACACACAGTTTGTTATGTTTTCTTGAGACAATATTCCACACTGTGTCCAAGCTGATCTAGAACTCACTATGTAGCCTAGAATTGCTTTTATCTCACAGTAATACTCCTGCCTCGGCTTTCTGACTGTTAAGATTTACAGAGAAGAACCACCATGCCCAGCTATACATTTAGTATTAGACTCATTTGGAAGAAGAAAATGAAAACAAATCTCAACTTGGAAAATATCAGAGCTGTACAGGACTAGTTTTACCTGGGCAAATGGCAGCAATAATGAGACTTTTGCTTATTTCTTGGTTTTGATTTCAGGACTCAGAGATAATGGCATAAGAAAACAAAAGCAAAAAGTCATTTTATCTTACCCTAGTATCTTCACTGATATAACCACACATGACCTTCTCATTCTTGACCCACAGTTCACCAGCCTGTGCCCTGAAAGGAGATACAAATATAAGTTATTCAAGGTCTTACATTAAATCACTGAAAAATACGGCAATTTCAGGTGGCTTGCTCATTTGTTTGTTGGTTTTAAGATAAGTTCTTGCTTTGTAGCCTAAGCTAATCTCAAACTCCTGCTCCTCTTGCCTTCTAGATTTATACCCAAATGACCTGATCAATTACACCTTCCCAAAGAGAGCTCCATGAACAGATTATGAAACAAAGAATTTTCATAGTGTATCGAATATGTATACTGGAGTCCATAGAAAACATACATGTCTAAAGGATAAAAGCCTGCACAGAAAATCCATAACCCTCAGAAATATGCAAAGTTATATGGACAGAGATTTTAAAGTTTGGTCAAATGGCGAATCCAGGCCAGCTGGGGTTACAGGAAGACCCTGTCTCAAAAAGACCAAAAAAAAAAGAGTCCTTTGGGTACATACTAAGGAGAGGTACAGTGGGTCATATGATGTTTTCTTTTTAGATTGTAAAGAACTCTATATTGATTTTCAGGGTAGCTGCATCATTTTTCAGTGCCACTAAGAGCTCATAAGAGTTCTTGTTTCTTCACAAAGCTCACCAGCATTTGCTGTCACCTGTTTTGCTGATGATAGCCATTCTGTCCAGAATGGAATCTCAAAGCAGTTTTAATTTGTGTTTTCCAGATGACAAGGATGTTGAATATTTTTTTCAAGAACTTATTGGCCATTTGGATTTCTGTTTTTGAGATTCCTCCCTGTCCTATCAATGAGCTGTTTGGGATCAATGACCTCCACAATTCATTACAACAAAGTTTCATCATCTGTGAATAAAGAGTTGAGGTAAGCATAAAGTATGGCCACTGTAGGGCTATTTGTATTATGTATCTTTGAACAAGCAAAAGTGTTTAAGAATAACTGAAGTCAGGCATCGTGGCACACATCTTTAATCCTAGCTTTCAGGAGCTAGACATAGGTGGATCTCTGTGAATTTGAGGCCAGCCTGTCCCATAGCAAGTACCAAGCCAGCTGTCGCTACAAGGAGACCCTGTCTCAAAGACTAAAAAAATAACTGTCCTCTGACATTCACGTGCATATCATGACTTACATACACCTGCACTTGCATTCATACACATACATTATTAGCACATACACACAATAATAACTATAATAAACAGTTGTAATTTGGGGAGGGAGGGGTCTTTTTGAAACAAGGTCTCCCTGTAGCCCCAGCTGACCTGGAACTCAGTATGTAGATATGTAGACCAAGATGGCCTTGAACTCAGAGATCCGCCTGCCTCTGCCCCCGAATGCTGGGATTAAAGGCATGTGCCACCAAGCCCAGCCAATAGCTTTAATTTTTTTGGGTCTTTGTGAGGCAGGGTCTCCTTGTAGCCCCAGCTGTCCTGGAACTCACTATGTAGACCAGGCTAGCCTCGAACTCACAAAGATCCGCCTGCCTCTGCCTCCAAAGTGCTAGGATTAAAGGCATACGCGACCACACCCAGCCTTTTTGTCTTTTTGAGACAGGGTCTTCTTGTAATCCCAGTTGACCTGGAACTCACTATGTAGACCAGGCCTGCCTTGAACTCAGAGAGATCTGCCTGCCTCTGCCTCCCGAGTGCTGGGATTAAAGATTAAAGGCAATCTTTTGTTTTGTTTTATGTATTATTGATTATTTTTATTTTATGTGTATACATGTATTGTCTGCATGTAGGTAAGTACACCCAAGTCGTGCAATGCCTGCGGAGGACAGAAGAGACTGTCGGATCCCCTGGAACTGGAGTTACAGACAGTTGTTAGCTGCCATGTGGGTGCTGGGATTCGAATCCAGGTCTTCTGCAAGAACAATTAGTGTTCTTAACTGCTGTGCTATCTCTCCAGTACTTGGACCAGAGGCAATATATATATATATATTTTTAAAAAGCTGGGCGTGATGTTGCACGCCTTTGATTACAGCACTTGGGAGACAGATGCAGGCAGATCTCTGTGAGTTTGTGGCCAGCCCAGTCTACATAGAGAGTTCTGGGGCAGCCTGGGTTTCAGGGAGACCCTGTCTCAAAAAGACAAAAAAAAAAAAAAAAATTGTCATGTGTGGTGGTACCTATCTGTCATCCCAGAACTTGGGAGATGGAAGCAGGAGGCGCAGAGGTTCAATGTCAGTGCAGGCAACAGAGTAAGTTCAAGGTCAATCTGGGCAACATGAGTCTGTCTCAAAAAAAGAAATCACAAACAAAACAAAGCAATCCTAAAACTGCTACAAGCACTTGGTTATTTCTTTGCTTATATGACAACAGTCTAATGTTTGAGGCACTCGTGCATTTTATTATGTGGAGAGCCACCCTCCTCAAGCATTTTATACAGTCAATTTCCTGAAGTAGACTACTTCAGTTTACTTGCCAGTAGGTCTGTAGTGACCTAATACCTACCTGATGCCAGCAAACTCTACTTTCTGGGTGATGTAGGCACATGTGCTCACCTAAGGGGAGACAGAGAAAAGACTCTCAACCCATTAAGGCCAAGAAAAGTCACAAATGAGGTCTCCTGGCTTTATGATCTCTTCTGACAACAAAGTTCAATCAGCTTGGGAATAATGGGCTTTACCCTACAGGAAAACCTGTTGGGGCAGGTATACTTGGTGCTTGAGATGTTGGCAAGTACAGACAATAGTAAAGTTCAGGGAGATATTAAGTGGCAGCCTGACAAAAACACTTATCTACATATATGTTTACATAAGTCTCTACATTATGTGAAAAATATAGTACAGTTTATTTTTACATATTTTTTTCAGTACCAGGGATCAAACCCAGGGACCCAAGTCAAGTGCTCTATCACTGAGAGAGAGATGCCTAGCCTATTTGTCATTTTCTCTTTCATTTTAGAAAGTAGAAACTTAAGCCGGGCTTGGTCACATATGTTGCTCCCAGCACTCCGGAGTCAGAGGCAGGTGGATATCTGTGAGTTCAGGGTCAGCCTGGTCTACTTAGTGAGTTCCAGGTCAGCTGGGGCTACAGGGAGGCCCTGTCTCAAAAAGACCAAAAAAAAGGAGAAACTTGCCTCATACTTAATTTGTTTGTTTGTTTGTTTGGAGGGGGGGAGTTGTTCCTAGGGCCTCATACATACCAGGCAAATGATTTACCACTGCACTATATTCCCAGCCCAATCAAAGTTTTCTTCATTTGTTTCCCTGAAAATATATATTGTGTAGCAATTCTGCATGCAATTTGTTGCTTCCTAATATGCAAAAACTACAGCAAGTTTTCAGTACCAGGTCAGAATTCTGAACTGAGCATTTTAAATGGAAAATGTCCATTAGAAATAAATAGGGGCTGGGCATGTGGCACACAACTTTAACCCCAGCACCTGGGAGGCAGAGACAGGTCCAGGCAAATGTCTGTGAGGTCAAGGCCATCATGGTCTACATAATGAATTCCAAGCCAAGTAGAGCTAGGTAACCCTGTCTCAAATAAATTAAATAAATAAATAAATAAATAAACAAACAAACAAACAAACAAACAAACAAATCCTGGAGCTGTGCTTGCTAGCTAGAATGAAACCCTAGGTTTGATTCCCACATGACATGAACCAGGCTTGGTGCCATGTGCCTATAATCCTAGGACTGGGGAGGTAGAGGCAGGAACATCAGAAATTCAAGGTCAGACTGGGTCTAGTGAAGCAAACTTTCAATCCTAGCACTTGGGAGGCAAAAGCAGGCGATCTTTGTGAGTTTGAAGCCAGCCTGCTCTACATAGAGTTCAAGGCCAGCCTGGGATACCTAAGACCCTGTCTCAATAAATAAATTGCTAGGCACTAAGAGGTTAATGCTCAAGTGTTTGCCTAGTATGCACAAGGCGCTAGGTTCAATCACGCACACCAGACACACAGAGGAGAAGGGGAAAAGAGGAGAACAGATTAGAGAAAAGAGAAAGAGAAAAGGAGGGAGGAAGAGAGAGCAGGAAGGAGGAAAGAAGGGAAAAAGCAAGCAAGTGAGCAAAGTAAACACCTGTAACAACATAAAAAGCTCAAAGGCAACTATAAAAAAGATGGAACTGGATACAGACAACGCTTAGTGGCTGCAGGTCCTGGAATGAGAAATGGTTTACTGACAATCTTCCCCATGCTACATCCTCTATCTCTCTATGATAAGCAAGGACTATTCATGCAATGGAAAACACACTTAAAATCATATCTTACCAAACTTTTCTTTAGTCGCCACATATCCCCACGGCCAATATACTGATCCTTAAAAGTCAATTCCACTAGGTCAAGGGTCACATCCTAAAAAAGGATAATCACACATATCTCTCTGTATTATTTTGTCACACTTTCTAGTCATAGAGAATGTCTTCTCAATATGGGGGAGAGGGGGACCTGCAAAAAAGAAAACATCTGGAAGACTACACAATAGCAAAACCCTATCAAACAGGATTCTACACACCAAAGACAGCTTTACATATAAATGGCAAGTCTACAACAAACCATACAGTAGTTGTACCACCTAAAAGAGTTCCAGAATACTAATTCTATGGTTTAGTGCTTTTGTTGTTGTTTTGAGACAGGGTCTTGTGTTGCTGCCCAGGCTGGCTTCAAACTCCAGAGCTCAAGCAATCCTCTGCCTCAGCATTCAAAGTATCTGGAATTCTATAGGTACATGCAACCAAGATGTCTGTTTTAGTCTTGAAATATAACATTGAGCTATATGCTTTATTTACCTACACTATGCCAGTAATATCTTTTGGATAATAATTTTGTGCTAGTTAAGTATCATTTAATAATGGAAGTGAATAGCCAGGCACAGTGCCACAGGCTTGTAATTCCAAGAGGCCAAGGGAAGACTGTTGCAAGTTCAAGGCCAACTTGGGCTACATAGTAAGTTTCCATTTGAGTTGATCTACACAGCCAGACCGTACATAAAATAATAATAATAACAATAACAATAATAATAAATTTAAAACAAACAAACAGGAATTAGGGCAGATGAGATGGCTCAGAGGATAAAAGTGCTTTCCTTGCAAGCCTGGCAACCTGAGTTTAATCTCCAGAACCCACACAAAGGTAGAAAGAGAGAACTAACTCCACAAAGTTGTCCTGACCCATATTCACACCATGGCATGCACACACACACCTACACATGTACATCACACACCACCCCCTACACACACACATAAAATAACAAGTAGAAATTAGCCAAAAACACCAGGAATTACAGTATGACTAAAATATACACAAAAACTGCTGAGGGGGCTGGAGAGATGGCTCAGTGGTTAAAAGCACTGACTGTTCTTGCAGAAGACCCAGGTTCAAATCCCAGCACCCACATAGCAGCTAACAACTGTCCCTAACTCCAGTTCCAGGAGATCCAACAGCCTCTTCTGTCCTCCGAGAGCATTGCACAACACAGGCGCACTTACATACATGTAAGCAATATACACATACACACAAAATAAAACTAACAAATAAAATATTTAAAAAAAAAAAAAACTGCTGAGGCTGGTAGGTTTGCACAGTTTTGCAATCCCAGTTATTCAGGAGGCTGAGGTAGGAGGATGGTAAGTTTGAGGACAGAAGAACAGTCTAGGCCATAATTACGAGTTTCAGGTTAGCCTGGGCTAAACAGTAAGACCCTATCTCAAAAAAGCAAAATAACAACAAAAAAGAGAATACACAAAGTATATAAAGAAATACTATTAATTAGATAGAAAATTATAAATATGCCCCTTCATATGAACTAAGACAAAGTTTAAAAATGCCACCTACACACCATTTATAACCTAAGTGATCTATATATGACCACAAATTTAATAGTCTAGCACTATATTTAAGGTAACTCATTATTTCTGCAATCACTTAACCTTTGAGTATGGGTACTAATTCTAAAAAGATATTTAAGGGGCTGGAGAGATGGCTCAGCGGTTAAGAACACTGGCTGTTCTTGCAGAAGACCCAGGTTCGAATCCCAGCACCCATATGGCAACTAACAACTGTCCGTAACTCCAGTTCCAGGGGATCCAACAGCCTCTTCTGTCTTCCGAAGGCACTGCATGACACCAGTGCACTTACCTACATGCAGGCAATACACAAATACACATAAAATAAAATAAAAAATAATAAAATTTAAAAAAGAAAAATGAAAAGTAACACC